AAAATATAAATCGCTTAGGTTCGTTAACAGACGGAAATAAATACTATGCGCGTTACTGCACCCGAACCAGGGGTCACACGGCATCGAGCAAAGACGTAGTAGTCGTCGTTGTTGTTATTTAGACCTTGAAACCGCACTTAATACGGATACTGGCTGTACAGCCCACCGATCGAAATGCGTACCTGCTGTCTCGGGCAGGATTCATCAGGAGAATCGCACACTTGGAATATTACGTTCTGTGCGTATGGTACCGCTACCCCCGACGTGAAGAGAAGTGTACGAGAATATAATGTGAAATACCTAACTAATACCTGTACATGCAAACGGCAACGATGGACAGAGTTCGAGTGAGGTTTTTTTTTTTTTTTTTGATTGATGAGTTAACCCCCAAGTCATTCGGTTGATTAATGACGTTTTCCCTACGGGCCGAAAAAAATTATGAACGACAAGGAGTCAACGACGGCAGCTTCACAAATTAAGCTGCTCTATGAGCGCAATACGTACAGTATATGAATACTCACGTCATTCCAAAACAACGATTAGTAATTATATTATTATAACGTTGCCACTGATGACGGAGGTATTTTAATTGTTTTTCATTTTTGAAATTTCCACTTAAGGTCAGGAATTAGTCACTCATTTGTTTTAATGCGTTTGCCATAATGATTTGGAATCACAAAGTCGTGTCAGCTTCATCACACGAGAAAAAATGATGAAAAAATATACTGTAGAAAAACACTGAATTCAAAAAATATTTTGATTCTAATTAAGGGAATAGAATTTGTTTATTTTTAATATCGGCTTAAAAGAAAAAAAGAAACCATAACTCATACAAATGTAGATAGCACAACAATATATTATGTATTGTCACAATGACTACTAAAATTATGTCGGTTTTTACGCAGTGTCTTGAACATAGCTCGGAGGATCAATTGTAATTCAATTGTTATTCATTATACCATTGATTATATATAGTACTATCTATAATCAATGATTATACTATTATATGAGTAAAGACCAATCAGCAATCAAATCCTATTAAATTTAAAATTATGTATGAAGGCGTTATCTCATTGCAGTTTATGTATTGTTTGTTAACGGAATAGCTAATCATACAAATTAAATTCTAAATTAATGAAGCCACGTATAAGTAATTAGTTAAATTCATCGCTATTTTTATTGGTTAACTTATGTACACGTGCGTGAATATATAAGTAACTTATTTCACTGAAATCCGGTTTTCGCACAAATTTTAACCAATGATAAAAAAACACGAAATTAAGTAGGTATTTTATCTTATTATTTTGTATGTTTAAAAGTAATAATATTTGAAACAATATAACTAATTGTTAAACAAAATTATTAAATTTATATTTTGAATTTTACTCCAAATGTATATTATACTTAGGATTTCTGACATTTTTTGTGTAACTTATGAATGCTATTACCTGCGTTATATTTTTGTTAGATAAAATGTGAACATTTTGCATTTTCATGAAACTAATGTTCTTCAAACTATATGTATAAAGCTAAATAACATTAAGTTATTTAAAGAATCTTCTTTTTTTTTTGTTGGTTATCACGATAAAATGTCTACTTTAACATTTTAATGTATATTTGAACGCATATACATTTCAATGTTTCACTTCACAAGCAAATCATATAATCTTTAAAACATTTAACTTATATACTATTAATTTAGTTCAATACACGAAGTTGAATATAATTATGTTTAAGGCTAACTTATACCAATATACTGTACAATAATATGTACCTACATTCGGTTTTTTTAATTGAGATATTTTAAACCTTCACCATTCGAAATAATATCTATATAAAGAACGGTCAATCCTCCTTATAGGTAAGATAATTTCAATGTTATAAACAGTTCAATGCAACCAAATGATATAAATATATAACTCTGACCAGTAACCATTAAATAATAATTATATGCCTACCGAAAGACACTAATGGCATATTCTTATGGAAACATTTTCAATAGTTCGTATTATTATTATAAATATGGTTGAATTTTGAGAATAACTAAATTAATATAACATTTATGTTACTCAATCATGGACGATAAAAAAGGAACATGAAATATTTTAAAATATCAAATTTTATAAAAAAAATTCACGATATCAAATCAGATATCATAGACGATTGTCATTAAACTTGAAGAAATGGGAACAAGGCAAACCACTATTGAAATAATAATTAATAATGATAAACTTCAAACAACTTATATTATTGAAGAACATAAAATGGAATTTTAAAACTGTAGTAAAAATGATTAAGAAAATGTTGTGATCAACAATTATGAGTAAACAAATAAATGAAACAATTATTATTGTTTGCTTTACTCGTTGACCCACAATTTGTCCTAGTATATTAAAAAAATAATTGACACAATACTTAAACGTAATAAAAATTAACAGAACGAATCGCAAAATAATATTTCTTTGAATTATATCAGTTGTTTTGATGTTATATTCTTTTGTTTTTAGATAAAATACAAAACGGTGAGTACAATTACAAATAAAAAAAAAAAAGGAAAAGGAAAAAAGAAGACATTACTAAATTCAGTTAAAATAGGAAATGCAAGATTGGCTCGTGTTATGGAATAATGAATCCGTTATATTATTCGTTTCCCCGGGGTGCTTAATATGAACAAAATATATAATGTAAGTCGACTAACTACTGCAAACAATGCATGTGGGTCGTTTTCAATCGACTTCATTCATGCGTTCAATAGTTTTAACAATGCATGGTTTTATGTGTCGAAAAAATAACATAACATAGAATAAAAAAAAAAAACGGCCGTTGGAAACCACCTAACTAAAGTGACCCACCCGAGTACACACGCCTAATATTTACTATCTACATACTAAGTGCACCGAACTGTAGATGGCAATACGTTTATTTATACCGCTATAAATATAATTACAATAATATTTGAATAAATCAACGTTCTATAGTTTTATTAATGTGGTAAATAAATTATCAATAACATATGTTGTTTTACACAATCTTTATAATAAACTCTAAGTTTTTTGCCTTTCGAAATGAAATTACCGACAGCGGCACTTATGTTTTAATAGAGAGTACAATGGATGATTTGGAGAACACGCCGACGTCACTAACATGTTCAATGGGCGAGTTAAGTCACGCGTTCAAGATGTACTTATGTGTGTGTATATATACATAAATATACACGAACAGAAAATATGGGAATGAATTAATAATTTACTTTTATATTTGTGATTTTCAAATTATATGTTTGTCAAATTATAATCATAGTAATTCAAAAATACTTGAAACAACAATAGTTTTAAAAATTTGAGACACCAAGTAAGCCTTTACTATACAGGACATTGTTATTACTCATAGGATGATAAGTGAAAAATATTTCTAACGTTAAAATGTCAAATTTTTATAAATAGCTAATAACCCTTCATTTCAGTACAAAAAAAAAAAACCAAGTATTAAGTTATATAATTTATCTATAATTTATATTTATTAATAAATAATAAGTCTATTAAACTATTACTTAATTTCAAATCTTCCAAAAAATAACCAAATTTAATAAGCTACAACATTTTATTTAATAATAAAATATACAATTAATATTATATTTAAAGCATTGAAAATATTTTAAAATAATGACCATGTGTCATTCACTATTCAATTTATCAAAATACCTTTTTTCGCATGCAAATATTCCATTATATTTTTAGAGCGATTGTAAAAACAAAATAATATTATTATTTTTTAAGTACACTAACCATGAACTAAACAATTTAAATATTGATACAAATAACCTTAAGTATTAAAGTACTCAAAATCAAACTTATCATTCAACTAAAAATGCATTAACTATTTTTTCCGAAGACGTTTAAGTGTCGTAAAAATATTTCTTACATTTCTATTCAAATTATATAAGGCAATATGAAAATTCAACTTGAATTCCTCTATAAATCGCGGTGAACATCTATTTTATTTTCAAGCTATAAATAATAGAGATTACATATATATACTATGCATAGACATTGCATTATAACATATATAATTTTAGATACTAATAACTCTTTTTTAAGAAATTATGACTGAGGAGTCTTCTTGTATAAAAAAACGTATTTCGTAGTAATAGTTTAAACAAAATATTATAACGAAACTAAACCAAACGACATAGGGGTACATAATAATAATTAATTAATAAGTAAAATTATTCACAAAACAACAAAATAATATTTTAAAAATACAATCATTGCAAAACATGTTCACGTACTGAATCGATTAGTATATAAACTATATTGTTTAGGGAATCATTTATAAAGACATTAGCTACTTGCGTTGCATAATTTTTTTTTTTTTATGTCATACGTTTCAATCAAACTATACACAGTATGCTAACTTTTTATCACGCCTTTTCTGTTTCACACAATGGGCTTATGACAAAATATAAATTATATTAACAATTCTCAGTCAATAAATATTTATTTCCAAAACAAGATGTTTGTAGCAACAAGATTTTGGTACACCGATGAAAATTTTCGAAATATTAATTAACCAAATTAGTACCGACTTCGAAACGATAATATATATGGAAAATTAACGAACAAAAATATTATTATACTCGACAAAAATGATTGATACACTGATTTATAACAGCCATTAATGTTGTAATTGCAACAGTCGTAAATCGCTGCAGAAACTACAAGTACATCAAAAATTTTAGATACCCGTGCTGTTAAATAGTGTGTAATTAGAAGCGTCTGTGGGCCATTGATCTGTTTCCGTGACGGAGTCGTACTGAAACCCGACGGAAACGTAATGGTTTTGCCGTGGTTGGCAACAATATTCCACGAATACGGTTTTTCTGTCCGTGGGAACGTATCAACTACGTATAACATGATATTTCCGAGTCGCAACATGGCGTCCCTCGCCGCGGACGGGGGCGTGTAAACAACAAGACGCGTGTACGAAGAAATGCCACTTACGTTTATCCCTCAGGGTGAATATCCTTGATGGCCGCCGGAGCAGGGAGTGCAGTGCAGGCAGACAAATATGTACGGGGAGCGGGCGGGTGTAGGTGCACACGTTGCGGACAACTGCGCCGTAGAAAAAAAAAAAAAAATCTCGTGTAGACAAGACGGGAAAAATAACGAGAAAAAGAACGACGATCGACAAACACATAAGCGTTATTGGAATATTTGATAGCACTGTGTGAAACACACGGTGTGCGTGTGTGCGTGTCGGGAAACGGACGCGCGACGACGGGGAAAAAAAAAAAACCGCACACGCGCAACGCACACGCACGAGTGTACCGCTAACCGGTGCCGCGAAATGACTGATACGTGCCACGAGGTCTTCGGCGGAGACTGAACCGAAGCGAGTTGCCAGCAGCGCGCAGGAATCCGAGCGAACAGGTGTCTTCTCATAACCGTAAAAACCTTCTTTTGCCCCCACCACGACGACCGATGCCGCAGCGGCCCGGGGCCACGCGCACGCACTACCACGGCCGCCGCGGTGTCGTCGTCTTCGCGTCGAATATTATTTATCGTAGTACGTACGATGGAACGTTGCACCGGATACGCGGGTGACATAATTCGATCGTCGTACCCGGGAGTGGGGATACGAATATTTTTGATTTTAGCCTCTCCGCACCGTTGCGATATTCCACCGCTGTCCCGTCGCGGAGAAAAAAAAAAAAAAAATCTTAACCGTCGATCGATCGTATGTTGCTGTAAATCGGTATCTTCTAATTTTCCTGCAGTGGCATAATGACATACATAACGCACGGACAACGTTAACCACGTGTTCGAAGATTATGTACCTTACACGCCGAATCTTATTAACGTATTCTCGTGTACAATCGATGTGTGCCGTGTCCCGCAGTGCGATGGAAGTCGCAGCGCATTGTCGTTGCGCTGGGTTCTGGTTCCGAAACCGTATTGCCAACCGACTGCGGAACGATGGTCTCAAAATAATGTAATATTATACACACATCATTAGTTAACAATTATTAAAACGTGTACTGTCGAACACAAAGTCGATATTTAACAATTGAATACAGTGGACACGCGTTTTTAAGTATACCGTTGCGGTTCAATCAAACGAAATTAACCGATGGTTTTTATTTATTTTTTTTTTCAAACGCAAAGTTTAAACTTTTAATGGGAATAAAATGTGAAAAACACGTCATTGCATCGAAGACCAAAAAATTATACTTTTTTGGTACCCAAATTATTAACTATATTGATTATAATCGTGTTAGATACTATACAATAATATACCTAATGCATGGGATAGTGCGTTTCTTGGTCATCTTGTGCTGCAAGAGGGGCTATCCTCGTGTCGAGTTTAGTTTTATATACTTGGTTTTTTGTACTTTATAGTTTGCGATTTCGACAATTATTTAGATCAACGATTGTTTTGAAATAGCACAACGGCATATGAGAACTAGTTGACAGAAACAAAAATCATTTCATAAGACGAGTCGTCCAATATACACAATAATACAGTGTAACCTATATACAGCATACAAAGAATGAAAAGAAACTGAAAAAACAATCAATTATAACACAAAACCGACTGCGACGATAGAGTTCAGTATAATGTGCATAGTTCTATTGTGAAAATGTACGTCAGGAAACTGATGTCTGATGTGGTTCCGTAGTTCGATGACGTCTCCCTATTGATCATAATGAAAAATAAATTCGCGGAAAAACTGACCGACTAACGACGACAACATTATAATTTGCTTTTATATACTTCTTCTAAATAGGTATTGGAGTTTTCTATACCGTATTGCCTTGTAGCTCACTTTTTTCGTTGACTACATTTCTTTTTACATTTTAAATCAGCGACACCCGTCAATAGAAACAAAAATATGTTTTAATAAAAACAAACACGCGTTAAATTAGTAACACTCGTTAGTCATATAAGCCATATAATCAAGCGGTAAATTTCATAAACGACGTAATTCTCATTTGAACACTAAGTTAAATGATTATATTGTTTGTAAAATAATGAATTTCATTTATTATTCAATACTAGGATTCGTTAGTCAAATGTTGGTTTTTTCGTGATTGTTAGAAAAACATTTAAAAATTAAGTTTGGAAATCATTATCAAATAACATTATGAAACTCAATATGTGTTTTAAAAAAACATTATAAATCTTATTTTTTCACAATTTAGAAATTACAAAAAATAAAAGTTGAAAAATATATCCTATATGATGTCATAATATATGTATATTGCATAATAATTATCAGAAACATCATTGATATAATATGTTATGCGTTAATTTTTAAATTCCGAAATTTAATGCAATAATATATGCTATCGTTTTTTTTTTTTTTTACAAACGCGCGACTATGTAACATCTTCGAAATAGCTACCTCACATTTTTAACTAACATAACGCAACACACCAAAAATAATCGTCTGATTATGTCTACTTCGCAGTAGTTTACCTACATTCTATTTATTCGTTAATATATCTCGACATTTATATCGTCGATGTCTGAAGTTATTATGTACATAAATGTGTATGTGAGTTATTTATGTTAGAGTTAACATTTTATTTTTAGTCTTATAATATTTTTCTAGTATCTTATATAATTATGGGTGTGTTCTCCGTAAATATTATAAACGTGCAATTTCTGTTCCGCGTTGTTGTCATGGTTTTAATCAGTACACCAATGCAGGTAAACTGATGTATCAACGTCTTCTTTAATTTATTAATATTTTGAGTAATTTACAATACAATAATATACAACTAATTATTATTGGTATCTACTGTATTGGATAAAAAATATTGTTATCATATACAGTGCTGTGCCTAGCACAATTAACGCCCGGTGCTAAGAATCATTCTTAGCGCCCTCACCCCTTCTACCAAATATTTGTACATCTTAGGCTATAAGGAGACTACATAAGTACAGGGGGTAACTACTTTTGTATTTAAATAAATAAAATAATTTTGATGCCCCAGTGGTTATGGCGCCCGGTGCACGTGCACCTCCCGCATCCCCCTAAGCACGGCCCTGATCATATGTATACCATAGATATATTATGTATAATTGTCGAACCATAATGCTTCATTGACAAAGGCTTATTAAATTTAAAAAAATAAAAATTTAAGAACACTATACATTCGTTCCCTCGAGTTAGTATAAGCCAATGTTTATCAAACTGTGTTCCATGAGACCCAGTGTTTCACATAGATCACGGTTCTATGAAACTCGAGTGCTTTTTTTTCAAAATATTCAAAAAAAATTACTTTGATAAAATTGAACTTAAGATCAGAGGTAACTAGTGAAAAAAACTTGTATTAGGCGTACATTTTTAAAAAATATTACTATACATTAATAATGAATAGTCATTAGTATTTTATACTTAGGTATACAATAAAAGAAAAGTCCAAAAATAACCGTTTGTAACGAAAAATTAGTCGTGGAAAGTTCCCACGTATTTAAAACAGATAAAATGACGTTTTGAATTTCAATACGTCCGTTGATCGCACCAATACTGTGTATTCTGTTCGAGTGACGCGACGTTATACAATGCAGTACGAATACGAGGTATTAGGTGAAAAGGCATTGAGAGTCCTACATCCTTTTTCTTCAATGTATTAATGTGGAATCTCAACAGTCACTGCAATCAAGTCTAAATATCAAAATAACTTGAATTTGAGGCCAACTCTAAAATTTTCATTATCAAATCTTACTCCAGATATTGAAAATATAAGTAACAGTCTCATTCAAGGTCACCCCTCCCATTGACATTCATGTACTAAATTTATTATAATTTTTTTTGTTATATTATTAAATTCAGATATAATGTTATTTCATGAATGTTAATTCAAAATTAATAATTTAATTACATTTGCTGAATTTTGTACGAGTATTTTAGTGTATTTTTAATGTTACCGTATATCGCCATGTTTTGTGTTCCTTTATTGAAGATAATTTTTATAGGGATTCCGCATAAAATATATTATTCTTTTGTATTCTGTGTACTAAAAATTTTAAGAAACACTGATTCAAGTAGCTGTGAGCATATATAACATAATGTGTACACCGATATGGGCATAGTTCCGCGTTTCGCATTAAACGTGACCACAATTGAAATAAAAAATCTATGGTTTTTATACAGACCAATTGTATTGTACATATATATAGAAATACTATAGTTATTATGTAAGATAAATATAATAATATAATATGTTTGTAGTTTTAACTATAGATAATTATTTTCTATTTACTTGGATATATTTATTCGCTTATAGTATAGTAAACCTGTCGAATACATGTCTACTTATATACAAATTTATATAGTATGGTTTTGAACTATTCGATTCGTAACCGCAACACAATGATCTTTCAGATCATAATATTACGAAATGTACTATCCAAAATCTCTGAATTATTATTTAATTTCCCAACAATTGAATCTTGCATGTCATTTATTTGAACTAAATACATTTAATTATTTTTATGTTCAATTAATAACGTCAACTAAACCCGTAGCTAGATCAATTATTCAGGGGAGGGAATTGAGTTTTAGGGAGGGCAATATGAAAAAACCAATATTCTAACTAATTTTTTTTTACTTTTATAAATGAATTACAATATTTTAAATTAATGATTACCACCATAACCAATTTACATTTAAAATGTGAAAAAGATATAGCTTAAGCTTATTTTTGTCAAAGGTACAGCTTAAGCCGTATCCCGTTTGTAAAATATACAAAACTTTTGACTTATTATAGTAACTAGGGTCCTATATTTTTTCATTTATATCAACGAAATTTTATTTTTGTCAAAAACCATGGTATTCGTAAAAATACATTATCGAATAACTGCGATAATATAAATATTGTAGGTTATCACTCAGTACATTCAGCATAGGTTAGTTAGTACCAATAGTGTTTACTTTAATCAGTGAAGTCACGATGGCCAAACAATTCGTGTTGCAGCGCAAAAAGTGCTTGAAAATTATTTCAAATTTTAAATTTCATAAAATTAAACAGACTCGAAATTCGGGTGACGTTTAGTGGCGATGTACAGTTAAAACTTGCACAGAGTTTTTAAAAACGGTAGGTGAAGACAACAGAATTACTGAACAAAATTTAAACTACAGCCATGAATCGTTAAACATTAAAATAATTAAAACCTAGTTTCTAATTCTAGATTTATAAAATTCATCTAAATATTTTCATGTTTATAGAAAAATTTTAATTAATTCAAATAGAAACATATATTAAACTAAATAGTATATATATAAATGAACTCTTAAAATACCAAAATTCTATAACAGAAAAAAAAAGTGAAAAATTACAAAATCGAATTAACAAATATAATAGAGGTCAAACTCCGATTGATGAAT